GAGAGGACACACAAGCTCTTTTAGAGAAGGTAGTACAAGTTATGAAGTAGAACTATAATCAGAAGAGGTCTGTAGCTAAGGATTACTAGTCTAGTAACAAGGTCATACTAGAAGCTACTAATCTGACCTTAGATTGTCTAATAAAGAAGTTGGACAACAAGTGCTTCAGACCCTTTGTCATTAAAAAGAAGGTTAGTGCCTCTGCCTACAAACTCTAACTTCTAGTAACATAGAAGCACATACACTCAGTGTTCAACAAGGTTCTACTGTCTCAGTACTACAATCCAGGTTTTCCTTTACAACAAAGACCCTTACTACCTCTACTAGAACTCATCAGTTCTGAACCAGAATACAAAGTAGAGTATGTAGTGGATACTAAGTTGGTGTATAGAAAGCTCAAGTTCCTTATCTACTAGAAGGGATACCTAGTTAAGGAATGTACTTGGGAACCTGCTAAGAACCTTGCCTATACTTCTAAGGCAATCTAAGATTTCTATCAGCTTCATCCTAGTGCTCTGTACTTAGCTCGCTCAACGCTCCGGATTTCCAATCCAGGTGACCCACCCACACTCGCTACACGCTGTCGCAGTGCGTCCATCTTTTCGCTCTTATTGTCACTTGCTAATCACTCTAAGCTTGTTTCACAGGCGCAGCCTCAATCTCCACAACCTGCTCAACCTCATTCCACACACACTCGCAATTCAACTTGCAGGGACCAGGGACCAAGCAATGACCAAAACGTGGTGACGAAGACTACGTCGAACGGCCTGAGAATGCGTTCATCCTTGTCCAACACAAATCCCACTCGCAGAAGAATGAGGCAGAGGCAGCTGGTGGTGTAGGGGTTGGGACTGTAGAAATGGTGTATTATTTACTATTTTTGTATTCTATAATTTAAATATAATTATATTCGATTAATTATTTGATATAAAATTGTATAGTAAGCAAAAGCAAGCTATTCAAACACTTGTAATGACTTGTAAGCATTATAAGCAGATATTACACTGTCACAAATTAATAAGTATGTCTTAACCTTGTAATTTAGGAAGTATATTATAATCACTTGTATAACTTGACAATTTATAAAATTATATCAGAAATTGCCAAGTTTTAAAAGTATTTTTTCTTGCTTATTTAACATTGTACTTTCCTTGCTTAACCCCCCAGGAAGATTATAAGTAATTGGACAAATTTTATAAATTTTATAAAATATACAAGATTACAAGCAAGTATAATACTTAAGACTTTTTTGTGATGAATGTGAATGTTGCTATAGCTACCTCCAGAGAAAGGATGTGTGTTTTTGTAGTCTGATAGACAGTCTGAGATGTTCAAATGTTGATTACAAGTGAGAGTCAAATTGAGAGAATTATCCTTAGTTGCCTGCTTTTGTTTGTGTTAGTAACAGTGTAGAGGGGACCTAAAGGCTCAGCAAGGGGACCCAGGCTACAACTATCCTACACAACAGAAATACAGAATGCAAGCACTGGGACATAGTTGGAACTTGCAGAACAGGCAGAGAGAGAGAGTGAGACAAGAGTAGAGTATATAGAGTGAGCCTAAGAGTACAGGACTATCTAGAGTAGACAAGATCAAGACTACAGGACTAGTCTGATCTTGTATGCCTATATATACTAAACTACACAAGAGCACTCAGGGAGCATGAGCTACTAAGAATGATAAGCCACAAAGAATGAAAGAAAGGAAGGTCAAAGATAAAAGGTACAAAGAATGAAGGGATGGACAAAGGGTAAGAGACTATAGAATGAACAAAGAATGAAGGGGTGGTCAAAGGAATGGAATGATGAAGTAAAGAAGGGTAGTAGTAAGAGTAAGCACACATATAGTCTATAGACAGTGCCTCTGAGAGACAGAAGTTCTGAGTTCTAGTACAGAAGGGTGTAGAACCCTTGGAACTAAAGGTAAGAGAGTAGAGAACTATAACATTACCCCCCCTCTAAAACCAATCATCCTGATTGGTGAACATTAGGCTCAGTCAGTAGCTTGAGCATAGGTCAGAATGGTAGGGCTTGGAAATCTGTGAGACTGAGTTTTTGGGCTGCAGGGGAAACGTGTCTGTGCAAGCGCGTTGCATGCTCTAGCTACGACACGACACACAATCGGAGGTGCAGTGAACTCAGTAATAGTTGTGGATGACTTCGAAGGTGTATCTCTGGGACGTTCTGGCTCGAAGGGAGAGGATGAAGTGGGTGGTGCGGACGGACTCGGCTCAGGAGAGGTGAGCGGTGGCTACTGCTTCTGTTATTCAAAATGGTGTCATGGACGGCACTGGGGTATATAAATGCACACGGCGTGGGCCCATCGAGGGTGATGTCAAGCATAGGATGGTAGGTGGGGAAGGAGAGTGCGCGGGGGGTCAGAGAGAGGATTGCGCCTGAGGAGTGGTAATACATGGACATTGTCGCGAGTGCGTACTCACCAATTGTTGCTTGCGTTGCTGAGCGGGAAGAAGTACGCAAATGCATGGAATTATTGAAGAAGTCGTTCAACATTGGTCAACAATGCGGATGCGCGAATGCGAATGCAAAAAAGAAGGCGAGCGTAAGAAAAAGGAGGACAACGAAGGAGGCAGAGCGAGGAGTGGGAGGGATGAAAGGGAGACAAGAAGTTGGGAGGAGAGGGATGAGCAACTATTGTGTGAGTTATTATGAAGTGGACTGGCTACTTATGCTTTACACTGAAGGACTGTGTAGCCAGCTCGGCCGTGTTGTCACAAGATCTGAGGCTCAGTGCAGGCATTGCAGTGGCAGATTAGAGAGACAAATCCAGCAACCTTTATTGCCTAGGCAGTTGCAGGCAGTGTGCCTGCTGGAGGATGCTTGTAGGCAGAGGACTGGCCTGGAGAGAACAAAAGAGACAACATAGTGTTGGGGGAAGAGGGTTGGGGAGATGATGGAGGTAGGAGGAAAAGGAGTGACGAGAGCAAGTGTGTCATTATATGCTCTCGATCTTTGGTACTCGATTATGTAATCACTTCGATATATTGTTTAAAGGTAAAAACAAATTATATTATAAGTCTGAAAGAGTGATTGTTAACATTATTAATATATATAATTGTATATTATCTTACTAAAAGTATTGTAATTAACTTACAAGCACAACATATTACTTTTATGACTGTTATAATTAATCAACTATTGTTACAGATAACTTATAATATAATTTTAGCATATTATAATAGGAGTTGAGCACTTGTACCTCACATGTAATGTTGTAATAATACTATTAGTAAGCTTACTTGCTCTAAAACATGTTTGTAGTTTAATGGAAACTTTGTATATTTCTTACATTTATATACAATCATTATAATTACATTATAAGTAAAATATAAGTGTTATTTTAGAATGTAATGCTTATAAAATCATTTTATTAGATTACCTTTGCTATTATTAAATACATTTGTTGCGACTTTTTCGTGATGTTGGTGTGTACAATCACTCTGATCGTGGCAACCTGAAGGTCGCTGTAAAACACATTTGCGTACTTCATGCACAAGATCCTGAGATCATGAAGATACTCTGTTCATATTGCCACCATGGTACAACTGCTCGAGTGTACTTACGTCCACTCTAGAAAAGTTGATTGAGTGAGAAGGTGAGGCTGGTCAAGTCTAGGACTCTAGGCCACCCTAATAGGCATGGTCAAACCTCGCGATTCTCTGCACGATTCGCCTTGCGATTCTAGAGGGTGAATCGTGAGGTGAATCGCGTGGGAGGTCTGACCAGCGACTTTTTAAACCTGAGATTCACCCTATGATTCCCTGTATATTTTGTGTAAAATCTTCAACTTCCTATTAATTTTAAATACTAGGAAAAACATACAAAATTACTCATTTATTATAGTATAATTTATACTGAATATATTGATGGTTTTAGACAAAAAGAATCCTTCATTTTGATGGATTTATATAAGAAAAAAGGCTTAGTTTACAAGAATTATGTGAACAAAAAATATTTTTAAATGTTATTAAGGATTCTACAATAAAATACATTTTTACATATGTTTAGTTAAGACAAAGTAATACTATTCAGGAGGAAATACACTGGTGGAGGGGTGAATCGTGAAGGTGAATCACGAGTGAATTGCGTCAAAGTGCGATTCACCTTTCAGCGCGATTCACCCCGAATCGTGCTGAAAGATGAATTGCGTCAAAACACAAAACCCCTTGCAATTCACCCCTGCGATTCACTCTCCCTCTGGTATATATTTCCATCATAATACACACATATTTCTTATGCTAAGCATGTATAAAACATTATTTTATTATAGAATCCTCAAGAAAATAATTTTTTTTGTATATATACTTTATTTTTGTAATGTTTTTAATATAGTATTCTATCAAATAAAGGGATTCTCTTAGTTAAAAAACATCAATTTGTGTAATATTGGACTTGCTTCAATAAATGCATATAATTTATGTGCTTTCTTTGCACACTGAATCTATTATAAAGTTGAAGTTATTACAAGTATTTACTAGTGAATCTAAGTGAGAATCTCTTGTTTGAAAAGTGATCAGTCAGACCTTCACACGCGATTCAGGACGCGATTCACCCTCCTGAATCGCGAAGTGAATCGTGTCTCGAATCGCTAGGTCTGACCCCGCCTAATATATTCGACTTCTTGACTAGATCTTGGACAAGAACAATTATATGATGCTTGTATCTAAATTCACGTCGAACGGAAGTGCTTTGCAATATATTATTCAACACTCAGGACTATATATACTGGTATGGTATGTAACTCGTTGAGTCGACTTGATATACGGTCCAACCGAGCTCAGCAATACTTTTGTACGAGAGGAAGAAAGGAGCGAAGACAATGATTCATCATCCGTGACATTGACTATATACGTCTGAATTTCCGGGATGTTGAGATCAAATACAAGTTGTGCGAGCTTAGACTTTGAACGACAGTCAGCATCACGTGCGAGTAGATCGTACTTCAGTAAAAAAGAAAAAAAGGGCATGCTAGCACTGGCCTTTGCCCTCTGCCTGGACGTCGTTGCTCACTTCTTTCCCAACACTCGTCTTCCTCTCTTTATTTAATACCTTCTTTGGAAAGAATGTCTCCTATTGCCTCGGGAAAGGGAAAGGACAGTGGTGCGGCTCGTATACTGGGCTCAGGGACCTCTGGTGTGCTTGTCTGACTCAGCTAGTCTGTTTAACTCTTCTGACAATTTATCTTTTCTGTGTAGGTATCGCAGAGTTGCTTGTATTCCACCCAGTGGACACAATCGCAAAGCGACTGATGAGCAATAAGTCCAAAGCATTGGGAAATCTATCAAACGTTCTTTTCCGAGAGCATGCATCTGCTCCGATAGGAAGGCGGTTACTCTCACTCTTTCCAGGTCTTGGGTATGCCGCTGGATACAAGGTCTCTCAACGCGTGTACAAGTTCGGCGGGCAACCGTGGTTCAATGATTTAATTAGCTCACGGTATAAGGATAATTTTACAAACACATTTGGAGAACGGAACGGGAAGATGATGATGCAGGCTGCGGCAGGAAGCTTGACTGGTATTGGTGAAGTGGTGAGCAATACATATGCGTTGCACGATGCGATTGTTGGAATCGAACTCATGTTCTGCCTCAGTTACTCCTGCCCCTCGATGTTTTGAAAATTAAGCGCCAAGTCAATCCGGAAGCGTTTCGTGGACGTGGAGTAATACGGATTGTCATGGAAGAGGGAACGACACTTTACCGTGGTTGGGGATGGACTATGGCCCGGAATGCTCCAGGGTCATTTGCTGTATGATCCTCCGTCGTCTGTTCTGTCTTTTCAATTAGATAGCTGACGCTGTGTTTTGATCAGCTCTTCGGTGCATCAGCGGCAACAAAAGATTTGCTCGGAGTGAAAGACTACAGTCGCGCAACCTGGACACAAAACTTTATTGCATCCGTCTCAGGAGCAGTAGCATCCATTACTGTTGCCGCGCCGCTCGACGTCATCAAAACGCGCATACAGAACGCGAACTTTGAAACACGCGTTTCCGGAGTGACGGTGTTCCGCGATTTAATACGTACGGAGGGTGTTAGTGCGCTGTTCAAGGGATTAACGCCGAAGATTCTTGTCGTGGGACCGAAACTTGTGTTCAGCTATACACTTGCGCAGAGTTTGATCCCTTGGTTCTCGAAGTATGTGTAACCGGGTGAAGATTGCGGGTTGTAGGGAGGGATGGCGCCAAAACTCTTTCATGCACGATTCGCAGTATCGAGATATTTCATAGATTTATTTTTACGTTTTTCATGGATAATATTATTTACTAGAGAATACAACATCCCCTGTTTTATTTCGAACCTTTCAACTAACGTCGAAGCGCAAACGTTTGGACGATAGCGTCCTATTAGTACTTTACTAATTGAAACATTTGTGCTTTGTTGCTTTACTTCACATGTATGGACTGAGATAAGTAGTACCAGGCTTAGAGCGGTTATTATAAGCAGCAAGACCAGCTGAGTAGAGGATCTTTCAAAGCTAATGCATTGACCGAATAACCTGAAGTTTTCTTAAGTATAGCTTTAGATATAGATGTAGCCAATGCAATCTTGTGTACAATACGAAAGTATTATATAATTATTAGCCTGATTCCTTACATTTCTCCATGTATATTTGATACTTGGTTGACTCACCAATCTTTTCTCCCAGTGTAAATTGTTATATCTGCATTACTGATTGCTTCATGCTCAGACATTGACCTATGTGAGCGCATGACTTGATTATTGTAACTTGCTTAGATTGATATTGGGATGCTAACAGACTGATGCTAAGCTGTGGTGTATGCATACTCGGAGGTTAACTTTGCTATTATGATATTTGTCCAACCTAATTATTTTTCAAGAGTCCGACAAACATGAGAGATCTTAAGTATGTGAATACGTTGTTAGATAAGATCATTTTAATTTGCCCTAGATAAATAGAGATATATACATCCAAATATGCTTTGCGTTGCGTATGATTCTAGCGATAGTGAGGATGAATACGAACGACAATTGATGATTAAGGGAATGTGGTAATGAGAGCATAAGCAGGATGAGTATTGTGCAACGAGGTGTGTGTTAATACCGAATTCTAGGGCATCATGGTAATTATATACAACGTCTGGGAGATATCGTGTGTAGCGAACGTAGACCGTGTTGGGATATATCCAAGTGACGTCTAATAGGAAGTAGACAGAGCCGGGATTGGGGATTACAACTTTTTCCCGTAGTCGTCTCCATTTACGCCGCTAAGTGACGTGTAATGTGCGTGACCACCTGAGTGAGGCGGAGGTGCGGAGTAGCCAGGTGGTGTGCTTGTACCCGACCGGGTGCCGCCGTTATTGCCTCCTAAACGGTCCGCAAGTTGGCTGGACAGAGAGTTAGTAAGTGAGGACGGTTGAAATTTAAAGGTAAGCAATTGGTAAGCAAAGACATACTTGGCATAATTGTCGATGATGAGCGCCATGCTGCTCATATCGAGGCGATAGGCTTTAGGCATCATACCCTTTCCCCATCGGTATGTGACGTGGTTTGAGCACATCAATGCGGCGAGAATCGCAGCTAATTGGAAGGGAACGAGACCGAATGCGACGGAGTACCATCTCTCGAGAGCCATGCGCTCGAACTTGAGATACGGGTTCTTGCAGCCGGGAAGCACGGATCGTGCGTAACACATTTGCGTAACGGTGGCTTCGACGAAGGGGGAATAGTATCCGCAGCAGTGGAGTTGGTTCTGAATACGTGCGCGCCCATCCATGCCAAGATCGCGAGACCATTGGGCGTTGATTTTGCCCTCCAAATTGAAAGTGCGTTTCTTGTAGGTCATGTATCCTGGTGCACAGATGAACGCGAAGAGTATCCAGAGGATGAAGGTGTACACTGCGAGGAAGCCACGGTTATTGAGAAGGATGCCTGCCCAGCCTAAGAGGGAAGCGATAACGCCGATGATGGATGCGATGGTGGAGACAGTCAGTTCTGCGGTGTTCCCTACGCGAATAATATCTGCATGATGCCATACGTTGAGCCAAGTGAGGATGCAAAAAATGAGGCAAACGAGCGAATAGATGGTAACGAGAAGGTTTGTCGTAAAGAGGATCCACTTAAATCGGTTCCAACGTAACTTTGGACGGACTTGCAAAAGATTGATGTTGTCTACACCGTCGTAATCATCATCGTTTGCGCTAGGCATGCGGGCCTCGTTGCTGCGGAACGCTTCCCTTCCACCACCGGCTTTTGCAGCATCATTTGCACCTGCCTTTCGCTTGTGTATCCCTGGCGCAGAGAATTTGGAGGGTATATAGTTGACGGATAGGGAAGTCGACGAAGGAGAGAGAGATGGAACGCCGGATTCGGGTCGTGTAAACGGTGCGTTTGGAGGCTCGAGCATTGGGTCGCCGGGTCGCGGGCGCTCTCCAAGGATGTGCTGTTGGGAAGACGCAACGGAGCTAGTGAGTGAGGGAGGACGGCGAGGTACTCGTCTAGAAATATAAATAAACGTTGATTTGATTTGGCAGATGAAACAAAGCCTTCCCGGTAATTCACCGAGAACGAGAACTTGACGGAATATACACTCACGAAGACATTACGTCCGGAAGAGCGGGACGATTCGAAGAATGCGAGAGTCCGATCCAGACGGCCGATTGTAGCCAAGTTGTCCTAAGAATTCGGGCGATTCAAATACAAGATTGGTTTTCTTCCGCCAGCTCAGCAAGGACCATCAAGCTCGTGCAGCACGGAAAAGACAGGATGCACTGGACACAGATCCTGCAGCACCGGAACCTTCTGTACGATGCAACCATCAGCAAAGAATGCCTCTGAATGCGATTGCTTTGTATATGCACACCTGGGTATCCAAAAAGGAGAGAATGAGGATGGATGGAGAGGCCAGGAAGAAAACAGGAGGAATGAAGGCATGCGTTGAGCAGGAAACGAAATGCCAAGCCTATGTTTATTAGGTAACCATCCGGATTTAAAAAGTATATTCACCGTGACCATATTCGGAAATAAATCATAGATTGTTCTGCTTGGTTTACAACTTTTAATAAGGTTTATTCGAGCCTTCCGACTCATAATGCATGACAGTAAGGACAATGTGTGTGTATGATTCTGTCACTCTCTCATTCACCATCATACACTATGTCTTCTTCTGCTTCAAGTCTAAACACTTACTACTATTATAGTTACATATGTTCAGTCCTAGACTGCTTGGACCGAGGACCGGACATAGACTGAACCTGTGGTCCAGTCCAATTCAGGTCCAGTCCAGGTCCAGTCTATTCAGTCTGGTCCTGTGTTCAAGCAAAATACAGTTTTCCTGAACTACTTAGACTTGAATGGACACAGGACCAGATCTGGACCTAAAGTATATAGTGGGAATTTTTTTCTACTAAAAGACTACAACTACATAGTACATAGCTTGTATTACAATTAATTAAAGTAATGTAGAAATGTAATAAATATATTATAGACTCTAAACAGTCTACTTACTATATAGACAGTACTCTGAAAAACACTTTAGAAATGGTTTAAGTCTATTCTCCTACTATTAACACTATATTTCTTCCTCTAGATTAAGGAGGCAGTGCTGCTTCTTTTGATAGAGAAGGAGCCAAATGTGTGGGACAATTATTATAGTACTATACTGTTAATCTCAAGTACTAGTTAAGGTAAAAGAGGTTAGTTAAGTCTGTAAAGTACAAACACTAAGAGGGATTAAGAGTAAGAAGAATAAGTAGATCTGAGCAGAATGTACAAGTTCTAAAAGTGATAATTAACAAGACAAGAGTAGTGTAGAACAATAAAGCTGTACTCAGAACAAAACAATATAAGATAAGACAAGACAAGACAAGATAAAATATTTACTAATAAGACTGTCAAATTATACACTAAGAGTTATAGTAGAGAGTAACTTGATTCTTAGAAAGTACAATTTACATAAGAGTATTTATAGAAATTATGAGTCCTTTGTAGCTACATAGTCCTTTGTAAACAAATCTACTACTGTTTCCTTTATATTAACTAATTTAGAACTCTAAATCTGAGTTCTCTTTATATTAATCAACTAATTGTTTAAAAGCTTAGAGTCTTACCTTTATAGATTGGAACTAAAGTCTAGAGTCTAACTAGTCTGAATTGAGTGACTAAGACTATTGTGTAAGTAATGATGACATAATTGAAGGATTGCTAACATAAGAATAATGTAATTTTAATACAACTAAGCTTTTCTAATTAGAACATATTAGAACATACATATTGTGTAAGTGTAACAATACTAATGTGTCTATTATTATATTACTATATACTAGATTTGAATGCTTTATAAATATTTATTAAAGTAATAAAAAGATTTTAGTTTTAGTAAAAAAGATACTATATATTTTAAAATAACTGTTAACAAATTTATAAAGAAAATAACTTATTTTATAATTATAAGGATTTTAAGAGAAATACAGTTATACTAATTCTTAACAGAATCTTACTTACTTTTACAGGTTCTATAATAATAGTAGTATTTAATATTAGTAAAAAAACACTTAAATAATAATATTTAGAGAGAGTACAAAATAATGTTATTTGTTAAAAAAATTAAAAACCACTTTTATACAAGTAAGTAAAACAAGACTAGGAAAGTACTAAACACTAAGCTTAACAATTGTAAGACATATAAAGACTGACAAAACAAAAGTGTTTTTGTTATAGTTAGTAAATAAGAACTTTACTATAGAATAAAATACACTTTTGTTATAGTTAGTAAATAAGAACTAACACAACAAAGGTAAAGATATAAACTATATATACTAGAGCTTTTACAAAAGTAGTTTAAAATAAAGGAAACTTGTAATAAAAGAAAAAGAAAACTATATATATAGTTTAAAAATTATATAACTTAAACTTGTTTTAGAACTCTTAAAACACACAAGTTTAAAACAGAACACTTAGTCTCTCAGAACTCTTAGTCTCTCAGAACTCTTAAAACTGTAGTAAGCTGTATAGTAAACTTATAGTAAGACAGATTTAATAGTTTAAAAAACTAACTATATTATATTAAAATTAAAAACAGTAATAAAAGTGTTACAGTCCTCTACTCTTACACCTTCAGTTTTACAGGTTCTACACTCTTCTGTACTAGAACTCAGGACTTCTGTCCCTCAGGAGTACTATCTATAAACTATATACAGGCTGACTCTCCTTATAGCTCTTACTACTATCCCTTCTTACTTTATCATTCTGTTCCTTTGTCTACCCCTTTATTCTTTGTTTATTCTATAGTCTTTTACCCTTTGTCTATCCCTTCATTCTTTGTACCTTTATCTTTGACCTTCCTTTCTTTTATTCTTTGTAGCTCATCATTCTTAGTAGCTTACTATTCTCTGAGTACTCTTGTATAGTTTAGTATATATAAGTGTACAAGATTAAACTAGTTTTATAGTCTTAATCTTGTCTACTCTAAGTAGTCCTGTACTCTTAGACTTACTCTATATACTCTACTCTTGTCTTACTCTCTCTTTCTGTCTATTCTACAAGTTCTGACTATGTTCTAGTACTTACATTCTGTATCTCTGTTATATAGAATAGTTATAGTCTAGATCCTCTTACTAAGCCTTTAGGTCCGCTCTACACTATTACTAATATCAGATTAAGACTACTCATTACTACCTTATAACTCTCCTATGTTTTAGACATTAGTATGTACTATTGTGTTAATCTCTTTTCTTTGTTCTAACCCTTTTACATTTTTAAATTTTAAACTTTCTAAACCCTGTTAAACTTTTACTACCCTTCTTCTATTCATTACCCCTTTTAGTTTAGTGTTGATTCCTTTGTAGTATAAATATGGACTCTCCTGAGTCAACTACTACCCTTACTGTTCTGTCAGATTAGTAGTTATAAGTAAACCTAACTTAATATATGTAAACCTTTATTTAAGAGACTTTTACTAACTATATACTTTTAACCTCTTTAGAACCTATTCTGATTGTTCTGAAAGTTGTAACCTGTTCTAGAAAGAAAGTACATATAGTCTACCCTTTAGACTTTAATAAGTAGTACTTTAAAGACTTCTAGTACTAAGTTAAACTATATATAGTTACTACTTTAACTAATCTATCCTTAGATCTTAATTATGTCTTATTTGTCCTCTCCTTCATAAAGGAAGGTAACACAGCCACCTAGGCTCAGAACTGGATTGAAGGTTATTAGATTAGAAGCCTGATCCAACTTTAGAATAATAAGTCATATTTGGATTTTATAAGACAGTTTTATACTTTCTTTATTAATTTAAACAAGAAGTATAATATATAGAACAAGCTTACATCTTTATGACAGGGTAAATGTTCTACTAATGCCTTCTTTCAAGAGTTTAATATCCTGGCTTAGAAGGTAGGATTTACACTCAGATTCAATAATGTTCTTATTAGAATACTTGAAAAAGCTCTTTACTCAGAATTGATTAATAAGATTCTTAGAATGATACTAGAACTGATTACTTATACTAACTAGAAGACCTACACTATTTCCTTCAACTAAGCTACAGCTTAAATGTACTAAGTCTGTATAGAACACTTATACATGTGTCTAACTCTAACAGTTCTAAGCTTTTAGATTAATCTGTCTATAATTTGTAATTAATCTGTTCTAATAAACATTAGAGAAGTCTGAAAGTAAGGAGTATACTTTACCTACAGAAAGTTAGGACACTAAATTAAGAACTGTTTATAGAAGTAATAGTATATTTGTTAGGTTATTAGAGTAATAATGAGTAACAAGTAGAATTTGTAATAAGAAGCCTTTTCTACAAATCTAAAAGTTACTTTAGAACTCTTAGACTCTAACTATATACTCTAGGATTTTGTAAAGGCTTAACAGTGAATATAGTACTAAAGAACTATAACTTGGATTTTTTAACAGTTACTTTTAATTTAATAGACACTGTAGGATTAAAAGTAAATAAAGTAAGAAAAGTAGAAAAAGTAGAAAAAGTAGAAAAAGCAAATTAAGAAAATTATTTATTAAAAAAGAAAAAGTTAAAAACAAAAGTAGATAGTTCTCTTATTTCTTCTGATTCTTCTGATTCTTCTTTTTACACTTTATCCAAGTCTAAAATTTACACAATCTAACCTACTACCTTTGTGTTTTAAGAACTTAGAATGTTTAGAACACTATCTAGCCCTGTTTACTACTTAGTAGTTTATTTATAGTATTAAGTAAGGATAGTCTTAACTAAGTTTATAGTTGAGAACATAAGTCTGTCCTTGTTGAAAGAGAGAGGTTAATAAGGAAATGTTAGTATATATACTTACTCTCTTAAATAACAAGACTGTGTAAGCTATACATTCTCTTTAGAACAAGTAGTAATTTATTAGAGAATGTTTTAAGTATAAGCTCTAG